CACCTATTTTGGTCATGTTGTCAGAAGGGACCATTCCCTGGAGAAGGATGTCATGCTTGGTAGGGTGGAGGGTCGACGAAAGAGGGGGAGGCCTTCAAGGAGATGGATTGCCATGGTGGCTGCGATGATGGGCTCAAGTATAGCAGGGATTGTGGGGCTGGCGCGGGATCGGGCAGTGTTTCATTCTGCTGTGCACGGTGTCGCTATGAGTTGGAAACAACAACAACAACATTATTCATGTCACATTGGAAAGAAGCAAGTAATTTCTCAGTATCTTCATTTTACTCACAATACTAAACATGATTCAACATTTTTAATAAGAATAAAGGAGAAAGATTGTCTCATATTTTTCCCTCTTAATTGGTTTACGATATGACATAGATTTTTTATATTTAGATGTATATCCAATATGCAAAAAAAATATTTAGGGTGGTTAATTGATTAATTAACTCACTGTTTTGCAGAATATATTGCCTTTCACAGCATAATGACTCTCAAAGGAACATCACATAAATTATTATCTGTGTTTAGAAATCTTAACCATCCTAAATTAGTTGCATTAAGCCACTTAGAAACAAAACCCCGCAAGTATATCAGTGCACATGTTAGCTAGTGCTTACACACACTCTCACACACATACTCTCACACACACATAAACACACACACCAATCTATCAATTTATGTAACATCTGTCTAACTCATACACAAATATACAGTTATATCTTTTTTGTAAGCATTAGTGGTATAGAGTCAAGTTTATCAAGAATTCTCCTCTGAACTGTTACCATAATTTTTCCATAAACTTTACATTTTTCATATTTTATATATTTTCTTTCTTCCTGACTCTTTAACTGTGGTCAATCCCCAACTTTCCCTAAGTATATTATTAGTCTGCTTCTGCAAAGGTGCTCTGAATTTATTACTGAGGTCATAGCAAAATAATCTTTATTTTGAATATTTTAATGTAACTATGAAATAAATATTTTATCTATATAAGAGTTACATCTTGGATATTACTGCCTCAAGGAACATGTCAGACACACATGTAATTACAGAAGTGTGCTTTCACATAAGGGAGAGAAAGATGATCTATTATCATAGTCTATGTATTATTTTCTGGCTGAGTTCATAGCTATAAAGATACATATAGTTATTGGGTTTTTTTTCTTTTCCCATATGAAACCAGCATTCTTATAATGACTTCACACATAAAGCTAAATCCCTTCACCCCATTCACCTATCCATCATCCTGAAACCAGCACATTAACATACACATGTACATAAACAAACACTCATAAACATAAATAATTT